CAAAAAATTTATTTTTCTAAATTTTGGTACGACAACGTCAGCACTTTAGTGGGGTACAAAAAGCTAAAATGGTTAACAACATAAGTAATAACAACAATAACATGGAACCTAGAAAAGTATGGATAACTAAAGCAATACTAATATCATGTAAAACTAAAGAAAAACTTTATAACATCTGTAAAACTGACGAAATTAATACAATAAAAAAAAATTTTTTTAATTATGTCAAAAACTTAACATCGTTATTAACAAAGAAAAAGAAACTTTTGATAAAAATCTTATCCAAACCACAGCTCACAATCCTAGAAGCCTATGGCTAATAATTAATAATAAATTTTTAAAAAATACAAAGAAAAATAATTACAATGACTACATCATTGATAATAACGGCAAAATTACTGAACCAACAACAATAACAGACAAAATAAATTAATTTTTTGCAATATTGGAATAGAACTTAGTAGTAAAATAAACGCACCACTAAACCATAACATAAAAATTATAGAAAGAAACTCAATAAGAGTATTTTTGAAACCTATATACACACATGAAATAAAGGAGATCATTGCCAAAATGAAAAATACAAACAGTGGAGTCGATGTCATTAATACGAAAGTAATAAAAACATTAACTGAATTTATAATATCTCCCATAATAAACTTATGCATTGAAAAAAAAAACATTTGGCCAAATGGACTAAAAGAAGCAAAAATAATACCTGTACACAAAACCAAAGAAAAATCTTCCTTATAACTATAGGCCAATATCGCTAATCTCTAATAGTAGCAAAAATTTTCGAAAAAATTATCCACAAAATATTTTTAAGCTATATTGAAGATTTCATCTTAATATCAAGTAAACATTTTGGCTTCCAAAAGAACAAAAGCACTAAAGATGCATTAAATTATGTAACAACTATTATATATCCACAACTCGATCAAAGTGATCCGATTGCTATAACTTTTCTCGATCTTGCCAAAGCTTTTCACACGGTTGATCATACAATTTTAATTGATAAATTATTTAATTATGGTATTAGAGGCAAAGCTTATAATCTTATAAAAAATTATTTAACAGACAGAAAACAAAGAGTTAAAACAAACAACACACAGAGTCAAATAAAAACAGTAAGAATGGGAGTACCACAAGGCACTATCCTTGGACCACTGCTTTTACTGCTTTTTATATTATATATAAATGATATTTTGCTAACAATGTCAGAAAACACAATTGTCTCTTTTGCAGATTACACAGCTATAATAACTATTGGTAAAACTTGTCAAGAAGTAAAAATAAATATGAATAAACAGTTGAAAGTAATCGGTGATTGGCTTGTAATAAACATATTATCACTGAATATAGACAAAACACCGAACATTAAAATTCGGCAATAACTGTAGTAGCACTCTTAAAAACCTGAAAATATCAATTCATAGTAAGACAATAAACAGAGTAGATAGCACAAAGTAACTTGGAGTAGATTTCGATAGTAATATGAAATAGGACATTCATTTGCAAAATTCATACAATAAAATCAAAAACATCACTTTTATATTTTACAATTTATCAAGAATAATGACAACAGATATCTTAAGGATGCTCTATTTTGCACTATTCCATATTTTAATTACCTATGGAATACATAATTGCGTAGGGCAGAACATATTCTGGTAGAATAAAAGGACTTCGAAACCTCCAGACTAGACTAATAAAAATAATCAATAAAATTCATTTTATATTTGACAAAATCCCTTTAAATATTGCTCAAACCTTTTCCTTGGAATCTCTAGTACATTATTATGAAAACCTATTACAAATATACAAAAACAAAAGCAAGAAAACCAGGTATAACTGCTTAAACCTACCAAAAAGATCTAAACAAATAAGTATCAAAATTAGTTATATAAGGGCCATAAAACTGTTTAACAAATTACCTAATTAGCTTAAAACAATTAACAATACGAGTAATATAAAAAGTAAACTAATAAAATGGATAAAAAAAATCTATAACAATGTTAAACGCAAATAATATGGAGAAGATTGAAGATATACTAAATTGTAATCAATTGAAACATCTACTACTTAAATGGTACAAAGGAATAATGTATCTGGCATCGGAAATCCATGAGAATACAAATTTCCAATCCAAGACACTACTAGATGTTAGGATCTATATATGTTTACAAGGCAACTGTAACTTATAATGGGGAATTAGCCTGGTTCACCCCGTTGATATAAGAGATGTAAGTATTTATATCTCACGCACGCTAGGTGCGCCGTCAGGAATGCGTCTGCGTCGTTTGTTGTGCGGCTCAGACGGCGTGGATACGTCGCATTAGCTGAAAAGGCGCGAAATACGACGTAGCGCGAGTAGAATGGACTCAGAGGAACGAGGTAAAAGGGTAGAGAGTCAACTCACAGATGCACGATAAACATATATTTAATGTAATTTTTTATACAGAGATAACAACGATACACGAGAGAGGGAGAGAGAGCATATATCGTGCCAAGCGAGAAAGAGATAGCTATCGAGCGGGTACTTACAAGTTTTACGTCCTCGCTAGTCACAAATATATCAGAGCGTTGGTTCCGCCGAATGCGTCCTCGCTAGTCGCAACTCTTCCTCTACGATCCGTGTACCGCACTCGCCACAGTCACTACGTACACAGGGTTCATGCACGATAAGGAGTCTTCTCCTTTCCTCTGCGATTGTTGTAGATGTGTTGTCGACGAAAACCCTGAGGTGGCGAGCCCTTTTTCTTTCTGTCTCCGTCCGTCCTCTTTCGAAGCTCTCCGCTAAGTTACTCAACTCGCGGGCCCCACTAACTCTCCACGCGCGCGTCTGTGTCAACGAATCAGCGTGCGCAGTAATAAGCTCGCGTTGCGTGCACGTGTATCTCTCTCGCAGTCTAACTCACGCGCGTTAGAACTCCGTCGCATATGTACCTCTCTCTCTCTCTTCCTACTCTCACTTACCTTGTGCTAGTATTGTGAACGATAATTAATTGATCCGCATACAACTGTAAATGTTATTCTATATTGCACAATCTCGAATGCAACATAATACGAGTAATATTAATACATAGAAAGGTAATTAACTAATAGAGAGAGAGACATAACGAGTCAACATTCTTATTCCTTATAAACTTTATGACATCGTATTCACCTCAACCTGTCAATATGCCTCTACAAAGCAACATCGGAGAATTTTCCCCAACCACAGAACAACATGTGTAATTGGACTTACTTGCCCAACAAGATTCAATCTCAGTGAAAAAATAAAACACATTATGGACCACAATGCTATAATAGGAGATTATACCACAGCTACAGCAACACTTATTAGATTCTGGTAAAGAAAATACTAAAAAAGTGCAATTATTTAATAAAAAATTTATCTAAACTACCATATTAGTTTTAATATAGTAATAAGTGCATCCAGACTAACGAACAGGAAATTTTCCTCTGCTGGATTGCAAATTTTGTAAAAAATTTTGTTATATATATACATACGATATTTCTATGTAATTATTTATATGTACTCTGGATAATAATAATAATAATAATAATAATAATAATAATAATAATAATAATAATAATAATAATAATAATAATAATAATAATAATAATAATAATAATAATAATAATAATAATAATAATAATGCCGGGCTGGTCCAGTGAGTGGTAACACCTCACTGGGCAAATGCTAGCTTCCAACGTCCACGACGTGCCCGGTGGAAACGTTGTCCGTCGCGTCAATGCTCTGAGCAGCAACGCTATAACGGATACGGCCAAGAGGAAGATATGGCTCACAAATGACGCAAAAGATAATGGTATTCTGCCGATGTGTCCAACCATTAATCACTCATACACATACACACACACACACTACGCAAACACTCACACACACACGCCTTCTGGCAAACCGGAGAAGTGAATGCTCGGTGACCCTATAAACGGGTCTTACCGAAAAGCGAATGGTCGGGGACTCCTATAAACGAAGTCGCCCGAAAGCGAGAGAAGGGGATATCTCTAAACGGACTCTCCCCGTGAATGAAGCCCGGTTTCGCCTATGGGCACTCACGTACACGCACACACCACAGGGGGGAACACTGAACACACAGGGTAAACATACAGGGGGGGGACCTCAGGGGCCGTGCGCTGTCCCAGCGCGGTTCGTGGAGTCGCGACCACGAGGGACCTTCAGCACAACGGGACAAAACCAACAATATGAATATGCACAATGAAAACATTGATGTACCTCAAGTGGTAACTCCTTCTCAGGAGGAATCCACCCCGGGTTCCGATCGGGTGAAAGCCCCGGTGGCCACGGGCAGCGGCACGGATTTTGAGGGCCGCACTTTGTGCACGGGAATGGGGGGAAAGACAGGAAAAAACGACAAGAAACTACTGAACATACCGAGACGACAGAGGACGGACAGTGGGTCAAGCGGCGGCAGCGGGGTGAGCTACGTCTCTGCCGCTGAGGGCCAAGAACCGACGACAGGACGAACACCGACAAGAACTAGTGATACACGAGACATGACGGTACCGCTGCGGCGCATACAAGTGCCACCTGCGCGGAAAAACGAGGGCTCCGAAAAGCAGACCTCCAACACTGACGCCGACATGAAAGACGTGGACAATGACAACGGACATATGACAGAAAACCTCCAGCTGTTTCGCACGCAGCTCAGGCGCATTGATGCCGCGCTCGAAAAGATGGAGGCACGGACTAAGATACAGAGAAATATTAGTACGGACATAACGACTAGTATGGCTGTAATAAAGGAGGCGGTGGAGATTGCATGGAGTGAATGCGACCGCCTAAATCCCCTCCTGGAGTCCGTAAACGACAGGAGGACAGAAAGACAGAAAAGAAAGAGGGAGGACACGGGGGCCAGCCCTGAGCAAGCCGTGGCCTATCAAAGGGTTGCGGACGAGTCAGGCTGGACCACGGTGAACTCCGCGAATAGAAAAAAGAGGAAGTCTAAACAGAAGACTAATGACCAAACGACGGAGACGACTTCCCTCAAACAGAAGACGCAACAGACTACCCCTGTGGTGGCGCTGGGCGCGCGGAGGGAGAGGCCACTAGCTTCGACATCCGCAGCGGCGACGCCTATCCACGGGAACAAACGGCCCGAGCTGGACAAGAACCGGCCCAGTGCGGGTGGTTCCCGCCGGAAGGGGGGGACCAACGTTATACTGGTACGGCCAAACGACGGACGAACGTACGCGGATACCCTGCGCAGACTAAAGACGGAGATTAATCCCGAGGGCTCTAAAGTGAATATCTCGGGATATCGGAAGACTAAGGACGGAGGACTCCTCATGCGCTTTCGCTGTAACGCAGACGCAAGACGGAAGTTCCAGGAGAAACTCCAGGTTACTCTTGGAAATGAGGGTAATGTACGAGACATGACACACGGACAGACGCTAGAGATACTAGACCTCGACTGTGTTACAGACACGAATGATGTACAGAACGCATTGAAACGAGAAACAGGACAAGATGCGGACTTTAAGATCCACATTTTCGGACCGAATAAACACGACGTTTGTATGGCAGTGTTCGAAGCAGACAGAGACACGGCCCACAAACTGCTCAAGAAGGGCAGAATTAAGATCGGCTGGGTCAACTGTCGGCTGAGAGAAAGATTGACGGTCCCGAGGTGCTACCGGTGCCTCGGATACGGACATAGACGAACGGACTGCACAGGACCTGACAGAGGACAGTGCTGTTGGAGGTGCGGGGGGACCGGCCATGTCGGGAGAGCCTGCCCCACCAAACAGCCGACGTGCTTCCTATGTTCCGAGGCGCGTGCAACGGAGAGGGCGCACGTCCCGGGAACGGGAGCGTGCGCGGCCTACCGGGCAGCGCTGGAGGAGTGCCGGAAGCAGACACGACAATGACAGGAATCTTACAAGGAAACCTGCGTAGGTGCGAGGCAGCCCAGCTGCTTATATCACAGACAGCGAAGGAACGAAACGTAGACATACTGATACTGAGCGAGCAACTGTGGGACTTACGAGAACAGGACGGCTGGTTCTCGAATACCCTCGGTACGTCGGCCATATGGGTCAAAGGCAAACCGGCTAGGAGAATACAAGCGTCTGGCAGGGGGGAAGATTACGCGTGGGTGAGGGTAGATTCCGTCACCTACGTTAGCGTATATTTGACCCCAAACTGCACGATGGCAGTGTACGAGGAAAAAGTCGGTAAGCTGGAAGACGCCCTCACAGGTCTCCCGGGTGACTTTGTCGTCGCGGGAGACATGAACGCGAGAGCGGTCGAGTGGGGTATGACAACGACGGACAAACGAGGAAGACTGCTTCTGGAAATGGCCGCAAGGCTTGATCTGGTAGTGGTCAACCAAGGGACGACAACGACCTATAGACGACCGGGCTTCGGATACTCAATACCCGATGTGACGATGACGTCAGACAGGATCTCGTCGCGGATAAGAGGATGGCGGGTGACCGAGGACTATACAGCCAGCGATCATCAGCACATCGTCTTTGAGGTGACAAATCAATCGACGAACATACGAAACGGACAAACTAGAGACAGGACTTCAACGTATTGGAACTTACGACGACAAGATAGAGAGCTGTTTGACAAACTGCTAAGGGAGGCACCGTTACCCGCCGAGTCTGTCCCGGCAGAGCTTGGTCTGCGGGAGCGTGCCGAATGGATAACGGACAAGACAACGGAACTGATAACGGAACTGTGCGACGCCACGATGACTCGACGCAAGGGCCGAACACACAAACGAGCAATGTACTGGTGGACGGACGAGATTGGCCTCCTCCGTGGAGAATGCATTGCCTGCCGCCGGAGGATGAACCGCGCACGGAAAAAGAGCAGACCAGACGCGGACGAACTATCGACAGCGTACAAGATGGCACGTAAGAGACTGACCACTAAAATAAAGGACAGTAAAAACCGATGCGCTAGACAGTTGTGTGAAGAAGTGGAGCGGGACCCCTGGGGACTTGGCTACAAGATTGTGACCAAGAAATTGGGGGCCCTTGGCCCTTCTGAACCAAAAGACAAAGACACCATGAAAGCAATAGTAGATGGACTTTTCCCAAACCAACCAGAGACGGAAGAAATGACGAACGAACAAGAGACGACAGTGCCAGAGTTTGTCGGGGCAGAGCTTATTAAGGCTGTGTCCACGATCAAGCCTGGTAAGGCACCCGGACCAGACGGTATACCGGGAGAGATCCTCCAGCAGATCGTGAGCGTACGTCCAGGACTCCTCCTGGATAAGTATAACGCGGTCTTACGTGCGGGCATCTTTCCCAGACGATGGAAGACTGCTAGACTGGTTCTCCTGCATAAAGGAAAAGGAGAGCCGAATAGTCCGTCTTCCTATAGACCCCTGAGTCTTCTAGACACAGCGGGTAAACTTTACGAAGCGTTATTGAAACCAAGACTGACGAACGCGGTAACTGCAAACGGAGGACTTGCAGGAAACCAGTACGGATTCAGACGGGGCTGCTCAACTATAGGGGCGATTCGACAAGTGACCGACGCCTTTCGGCGGACGAGGCTCGTGTGCTACGGAGCGAGGCCAATAGTACTTCTCGCGACTCTTGATGTCAGGAATGCCTTCAACTCCGCTCGGTGGGGGGATATTCTGGAGGCCCTACAAACTTTCAGGGTTCCCGAATACCTGATGCGGGTGATGAGGGAGTACCTACACGACAGATGGATTCGATACGAGACGACCGACAGAACAGTGACCAGACGAATCACAGCAGGAGTCGCCCAAGGCTCAATCCTTGGACCCGACTTCTGGAACATACTGTACGACGCACTACTAAGACTACCGATGCCACCGGGGGTGGAGCTGGTTGCCTACGCCGATGATGTGGCTGTGGTGATAATAGCCCGTACCCCGGAGCTGGCGCAAATGCTTCTGAACCGCGCGATGTTACGAATCAATAGATGGATGACTGAACGCGGACTTAGCCTTGCCCTGGCCAAGACAGAACTCATCCTTCTGACGGGAAGCAGGATTAATACCCTGATTCCCATGACAGTCGGAGAGGTATCGCTGCGGACCAGTGGGGCGGTCGAGTATCTGGGGGTGACCCTAGATACGAAGATGACCTTCTGGCCGCACATACAACAGACAGCGAGGAAGGCGGCAGAGAGGACTTCCGCTCTCAGTCGTCTTATGGCAAATACATTTGGACCGAGACAATGGAAGAGACGACTACTGATGACAACGACCCACTCGATCATGCTCTACGGGGCGGAGGTGTGGGCCGACGCGTTGGGGGTCAAGAAATACTGCAAACGACTGACAAACGTACAAAGACAGGGAGCACTGAGGATAGCCTGCGCCTACAGGACAGTCTCGGCTGAGGCTGTCCTGGTGGTGGCGGGGGTTATCCCGATAAACATGCTCGCCAGAGAGCGGAAACGCGTGTACGAACGAAACAGCGACATGACCAGAACGGAAGCTGCCCAGGACGAAAGAACTAGGACGATGACGGACTGGAACAAACAATGGAGGATGAGCACGAACGGAGCATGGACTAGACGACTCATTGACGACCTGAGACCGTGGACGGAGAGGCAATTTGGGGAAGTGAATTTTTACCTGACCCAGTTTCTTACCGGCCACGGGTATTTCAGGAAATATCTGTTTGACAGAAACAAAGTTAACAGCGCCGACTGTAAATACTGTGGATACAAATGTGATGACGCAGAGCATACATTTTTCAAATGCTCACACTGGAACGACGAAAGGCAAAGACTGGAGACGACGCTTGGAAACATCACGCCCAACAACATTGTGGCAAAGATGCTACAAGACAAAGACTACTGGACGGTAACGGCAACGTACGTTGAGACTATCCTACGAGGGAAAAAGGCGGACGGTTGCCTGGAAGTCGAGTGTTAGACGAGAAGAATGCGGGAGTAAATGGTATGAACAAATGGATGAATGTGAATAAACGGACGTAACGAAACGATACAGGACCCGTGGACAACGAGAGGACTTGACGCGGTTCTCCAGCGGGAAGTAATGCTTACGCGGTTCCCCGCTGGAGAATGGTGTAGGTGGACTTTACTACTCTTCCCCGGATGGTTTACCCTCCGGTTGAAGAGAAGCGGGATTTGGGCGGTCAGCTGGTCTTCGACGACCCGGAGGCTCCTTGCGTTCGATTGATAGATCGCTTGAAACAGCCCGGTCTGAGAGGATCAGCGAGTCACGTCACACGGCGGGTGGGAGAGTGTAGGTGGGTAGCTTCGGTGAACTGCCGTCACACTCCAACCGTTATGGTCCATGAGGATTTATCCTGTTTTTTTACCACCATAAAAAAAAAAAAAAAAAAAAAAAAAAAAAAAAAATAATAATAATAATAATAATAATAATAATAATAATAATAATACTAATAATAATAATAATAATAATATTTCTGAAGGAAATATAACAAAGATAATTGATAGATATAATAAAGTAACAGCAATTGCCTTTAATGACGATAAAATTGTCAAAATGAAAAGTACGTTAAACTTAACTTCCTCTTCTTATATAACCTTCGAGGAGTATAAGAAAGGCTTACGGGGTTTTGAAAGTGAACGCGAAACAAAGTCGGTTAGATACGCAAATCAAAATGTTATAAGTCAAAAGGAGAGATGGCATAGAACGGTAGGACATGTGGACTTTAAGTATTTAGATATGCTGTGTAAACATCAGTTGCTAACGGGTGTTCCGAACAATCTTGAAAACGAATATATGAAATGTAAAACTTGTATGGAGAATAAAATGCACAATTTACCGTTTGAGAATAAAAGAACTAGAGCGAAAAAAATACTTGAAATAGTGCATACGGATGTATGTTATGCTTCTAAAATTGCTGGTTTAAATGGAGAAATTTATTTTGTTTCATTTATTGATGATTATAGTAGAATTGCTAAAGTTTATTGCATTAAAAGTAAAAATGAAATTTTTGATTGTTTAAAAAATTTTGTAAATTAAAGTGCAAATATAACAGGGAAGAGAGTAAAATTTTTAAGATGCGATAACGGAACAGAATATTTGAATAATCGTATATATAAATTTATAGAAGATAGAGGAATTGGTCTAAATAAATGCTCAGCGTATGTACATGAGTTAAACGGTACGGCGGAGAGATTTAATCGAACGATCATGGATATGGCGCGGTGCTTACAAACAGAGGCTCAAGTGCACGAACGGTTTTGGCCCGAAATTATTTACGCAGCGAATTATTTGAAAAATCGTACGTTAGCAAACATAATTGAAAAGAAAACACCGTATGAGATATTTTTTAAGAAAAGGCCAGACGTTAAACATTTAAGATTACATGGTAGTAAAGTTTGTGTCAGAGTACCGGAACATAAACGAACGTCGAAATGAGTAATTGTTGCGAGACACGTAGACATAATAGAGGAAAATGTAAAATGTATAAGCCTTGGTGAAAAAAAGAACGAGCCTAATAAAAATACACTTTCGTCTACTTCGACTCTCGAGTGAAGTAGAGAAAGAGAGAATGATGCTGATAGTGACCTTGATGATAACGTTTTTGAAAGTGGGGATGAGTCTGAGGGACAGACTAAAAATGAAAAACATGTAGAAAAAAATATTCCGCGTAGATTGGTGCGAGAAAAGAAAAGTACTGTAAGATATCCAGAACCCGAAGTTTATAATATTTTTGTAAATTTTAATAAAATTGATACACCTTGTATATTTGAGGAGGCAATAAATAGCGCGAATAGTAAAAATTGGGAAAAAGCGATGGATTAGGAAATGGAATGCATTAATAAAAATAAAAATTGAAAATTAGTAGATAGAGCAAATAATAAAAAGGTTATTGATATAAAATGGGTTTACACTAGAAAAATAGATAATAGATATAAAGCTCGATTAGTTGTAAGAGGCTTTTAACAAAATAATGTACTTGATGACATATACAGGGTGATTCAGAAGGATTATAGTTCCCGAAAATGGGCTGTAGAAAAACATTTTCTGAATCGATTGCCGTTTTCAAAAAATTTTTATCATCAATACTTTCCAAAAAGATTAATTTTAAAAATTAATAATTTCGACCAATCAGAGCGCCGTTTCGGTCGACTACCAAATTTCTCCTCTTTTGCTGTTTTCCTCTCCACTTGGCCGTAGCAACCGAAGCGGTGATTGAGACGACGCGGTAACTAACATTGCAAAATATCATTGGTTGCTTAACAGTACATCGAAGAAAGAACCGCCTTGTAAAGACGTCATTTTCTTAGAATAAACGGTCTAACAATGTCTTATAATTTATTTTTTTTATAACTTTATAACAAACATATACATTTAAAGTAATTTTACGTAATTTTATAATAATTTTACGTAATAAGCGTACGAAAGTACACGATTTCGATGTCGATCTTGGCAATATTTTGCCACTTGAATTCGAATGAAACCTTTTTCATTCAAAAGGTCATGATAAGATGTGTTCACGAATCTTTTTCTGACGCTCGGAAAAGCCTCTGACATTAACCGGAGAAGAGAGGGAGAAAGCCGTGCAGCCGCATCCTCGTGAGTATCCACCTTCGATGGCGTTTTTGGCAATGTTTTGTCACTGTTATTCGAATGAAATCTATTTCATTCGAATGGTCATAGAGGAGAGAGACTAAAATTTTGCCGGCGCTCGGAAAAGCCTCTGACATTAACCAGAGAGGAGAGAGGGAAAGTTTTATCATTTATTTTTGTTAATAACTTTATAACAATCATATAAATTAACAATAATTTTTCTAATCAAATCAAAAGTGAT